TTTCCTTTCAATTTATTTATTTTCTATCTCTCTAAAAAAAAAAAACAATTTTGTTATGTCGATTTTATTCTGCGTAGAGTAATTAATAATCCATGTGATTAATCTATGAAAATTTGCTCATTAGTTTCAATGACTACGTTCAAAGTATTATAACCCTAAAAAATCTTCGGTTATGAATTTAAACGAAGAAAGAAATGCATAAAAGTCAATTCAAATGTGGTATAAACAACAAAAGGATCAAAGTGCGAAGTAAAATGCTCCAATAAGGTGAAGTGGGGTAAATTCGTAAACGGGGTAAGTGCATATACAGGCTATTTTTATTACAATATGAGCAAAATTTCTCCATCTAGTATGTAGTAATGTACTACAAGTTGATATGAGCTATTCGTCATAAATGGCGCACAAAAATGCACGTATCTTCCTGAAATATATCTGACAGTAAAAAGCATTTTATAGCGGATTTGAGAACAATTGTGCTCTTGTCCCATTGCACATGAAATAAAGTTTCAAAGTATTTAACTTCAAGTGACGTTCTTACCCCATTTTCGGGGAAAATGCAGAGTAGTTGACATTTTAAACAATTTCCTAACAAAATCAAAATGTATAAAGAAATTTAAGGTCCTAGTTAATATTAATTAAATAATAGTAATTACGTTTAAATACCAACTTTACAAAAACCAGTCTGCACTTACCCCACTTGACCTTATTTAAAAAAACAGAATAGAGACACTGAAAACATGAAACACTAAGAATTAGTTTTTGTGAGACTCTATAAGAATATTTCTTTTCGTTAAAAGGTGCCTATGGGCACACGGAAGAAATAGATAATGAAGGTTTTAACCATTATACAGTGGATCGGAGACCCCTAATTATGGCCATTATTCGGTCTTCCTTCGTATTTTAATGAAGGTATTTCAGGTCATCCGACAGGTTTGATAATTTTAGTGTTAGGACAAAAGAGAATATTTTGACGGTGAGAAATAAAAATTTGTCATGAGAGAGGCACATAAACCTAATCATGAAATTTTAAAATCCATTCAAAATATCGAAAGAAAATAAAAAATTTTATATATTATTTTTATATAAAACTAAAAGTTCTAATAAATAATAAGTATATTAAATAATTGAATATCTGCTAAAATTTCTACTAATCTATTTCTAACTAATCAACTTCCGAAGATTTATTTGTCGTAAAAGACTTACTTAACGACTAGGTTTGCTAAGGATTAAAGAAGAGATATTGATGATAACGTAAAACATAGTATAGCACAATTGAAAATCGTTCAAATACAGTTTATCACTGACCATTTATAAGTATGGCTGCTTTTTTAGGAAGTAGATTCATTTCATGGATCTCAATTATTCATAGGCATATTTTGAATACAAAATGTTACTTTGCACGTGTCTTTTTTAAGTTTAAGTAACAGTTTCATTTTTATAAAAGTCATGTAATATAATTATGTACTATAACAGTAACACTAACGATATGTTTTAACACTTACTATTTTTTTTTTATAAAATAACATAAAATGTTAGCTACGAGACTATGCACTTGTTGACAAAGATAATATAACTTGCCGATTAATCCAATATAAACTACACGTTGATGTATGGAGATTAAAAAATCGTTTAATTACTACTTATTACCACTTGGGAGGTAATAATTAAAAAACGAATATTGCCTGTAAATTAATTTAATTTTGGATTTATCTATATGAACTGAAGATGTGTTCACACGGAAAAATTTTTATGTAGGAAGTGTATACTACAGTGACCATTCGATATCTGCAAGAATCACCTATGGGTCATTCCACGCCAAATCGATCACTTTTAGAAGTCACCACCTCCGATTTTGCTCTAATCGAAATATGTTGTAGTCCATGTGAAATTAGGGGGGTTTAAGTCATCATTTTGCCGGTTTCGAATTTGTTAATGAATGACAGGTCGTCAAAGTTTGCAATTTTTGCCCGTTTTGGCGAAAATGGGGTCCACTTGGCAATTTTTTTCTCAAAAACTACTGAACCGATTTAGCTAAATTTTTTTTTGTTTTATTCGTGAAGGTTTGGGCTATTTTAAAATATTTTTTTTAACTTTGTCAATTTGTTATAAAATGTTGAAAAATTTAAACAAATTCTTTTTTTGCGTTTTTCTCAATGAGGGGCGTAAAGGGTTAAAATTTCAAAAAAATATGGTCATATTCTTTGAAGCTTCCCCTTTAAAATGACCCCTCCAGAACGATGGAGCCTCGAAAATTTACATCTTTACAAGCGGGAAAAGGACGCGGGGTACCCACGTTTCAGGTAAGCGAGTCGCACGCTCAGCTATTGTGATCGGTTGTTTTTTGTCACTGGTCTCAAAACGATACAAGAAGATTTCGTACACAATCATTTGATGATTTAAAACCCCCCTAATTTCACATGGCCTACAACATATTTCGATTGGAACAAAATCGGAGATGGTGACTTCCAAAAATGATCAATTTAAAATATATAAAAAATATATAAAAAATATATAAAATATATGGGTGGAATGACCCATATATTTTTGTATATACTTCAAAATATACCATTTCTATGCCAGTAAAATATATCAGTTGTATAATTAAGGAAAACTTATTCATAATATTTACCTTGACAACATGTTTCAAGATTATAGAAATCAATGAACAAATCAAATTTCTGAATAATTGTCGACATTTTTTCTAATAAATAATACAATTCTACAATCTTTAGTTAAGGAAAATTTATAATTAGTTAATGTGTATATTACTCTATCACTGTTTTGCTCAAAATACAACATATCTATTACATACAGTACTAATTCTGGGGAAGATTACAAATATCATGATTGTCTCGAAATATTTTCGCTGAACCAATTACATGTATGCAATAAAAACTATGTTGATAAATGTAATTGGAATAAACATTTACCGATTCTTTCACATTGTTAAAAATTATTAGATAAGCTGCGATTATTGAAAACGTAAAGATGCTTATAACTTTCTATTTATTCTACCGCAATATTTTACTTACAAGGTGACATTATATGAAGTCCAACAGATTCAATTAGATGACATTTTCACCATCGGAAAGAATTTTCTAAAAATGTTATCGAAATATGTTGTAGTCCATGTGAAATTAGGGGGGTTTAAGTCATCATTTTGCCGGTTTCGAATTTGTTAATGAATGACAGGTCGTCAAAGTTTGCAATTTTTGCCCGTTTTGGCGAAAATGGGGTCCACTTGGCAATTTTTTTCTCAAAAACTACTGAACCGATTTAGCTAAATTTTTTTTTGTTTTATTCGTGAAGGTTTGGGCTATTTTAAAATATTTTTTTTAACTTTGTCAATTTGTTATAAAATGTTGAAAAATTTAAACAAATTCTTTTTTTGCGTTTTTCTCAATGAGGGGCGTAAAGGGTTAAAATTTCAAAAAAATATGGTCATATTCTTTGAAGCTTCCCCTTTAAAATGACCCCTCCAGAACGATGGAGCCTCGAAAATTTACATCTTTACAAGCGGGAAAAGGACGCGGGGTACCCACGTTTCAGGTAAGCGAGTCGCACGCTCAGCTATTGTGATCGGTTGTTTTTTGTCACTGGTCTCAAAACGATACAAGAAGATTTCGTACACAATCATTTGATGATTTAAAACCCCCCTAATTTCACATGGCCTACAACATATTTCGATTGGAACAAAATCGGAGATGGTGACTTCCAAAAATGATCAATTTAAAATATATAAAAAATATATAAAAAATATATAAAATATATGGGTGGAATGACCCATATATTTTTGTATATACTTCAAAATATACCATTTCTATGCCAGTAAAATATATCAGTTGTATAATTAAGGAAAACTTATTCATAATATTTACCTTGACAACATGTTTCAAGATTATAGAAATCAATGAACAAATCAAATTTCTGAATAATTGTCGACATTTTTTCTAATAAATAATACAATTCTACAATCTTTAGTTAAGGAAAATTTATAATTAGTTAATGTGTATATTACTCTATCACTGTTTTGCTCAAAATACAACATATCTATTACATACAGTACTAATTCTGGGGAAGATTACAAATATCATGATTGTCTCGAAATATTTTCGCTGAACCAATTACATGTATGCAATAAAAACTATGTTGATAAATGTAATTGGAATAAACATTTACCGATTCTTTCACATTGTTAAAAATTATTAGATAAGCTGCGATTATTGAAAACGTAAAGATGCTTATAACTTTCTATTTATTCTACCGCAATATTTTACTTACAAGGTGACATTATATGAAGTCCAACAGATTCAATTAGATGACATTTTCACCATCGGAAAGAATTTTCTAAAAATGTTATTTTGCCAAGAAATAAAAAATATTTTTATTTTTAATAAGAAACAATGTTTTTTTTGGTTATTCTGAATAACATTAATAATGTTTTAACGTTAAATGTGAATTGCACTCTTCGGTGTATTGTGGACTACTATTTGAGATTATTACTTTACATGTAAGAAATTGAAAAGATTGTGGCATTTTAGACACGAATAAAATTGTTCATTTTGTTCAATTGTTCATGGCCTTTAAAAGTACTAAAACTTGTTAAGAATTTTATTCCGAACAATTTCTAACTTGAAATTTCTAACTTAAAATTAAAAACATTTATAATTAAAAATATGTTAAAATAGTTAGCTTTTCTACTATTTCCACAGTTTTTATATCCATAAACAAACGAAAAAAATTCCAATTTTATGCAAGATATTATACTATTTAATATTTTTGCAACTGAAGTATAGATATAATGCAAAGTAGAGGTTAAAGAAAATTTTTACCTGACACATTATCTATGAAAATAGAGTAACTTAAATTGTTGCCGTCAATGTTTTAATGCCACCGTCAAATGGCTTTCAGAAAAATTGAATTCGTTTAAAAAAATATAATTTTATTATTAACCTACGATAATATATATAAATCGATAAAATCATTGTTCGCAAGTACAGTTTAATACAAAAATACTTTATTACAATGAAGTACCATAAAACAAAGGTTTATTCAGATAATTTTTTGGATGAGATATAAAAAAAATATAGAAAAGTTCAACCACTAGACGTGAATAATAAATAAATGTATATAAATGTATTATATAGTATAGAAAGATTATTATACATAAACATTAATGATCTTAAACACGGGAACATACACTTCTATTCGATAGAACAAAGATAAGCATTGAGATTCTTCTTCCATTTTCAGTAAACATTAGTCACCTTAATCATGCATATGACATAAATAATACATCGTTCTTTGAAATAACTATCGGAGAGAGATGTGGAGATGCCTTTTTCAATCTTTCAAAGTTCATTTTTCATGATTCGTATACTTGATAGATTTTCGTGAATGCTACGTCCAACGTTTTGTTCCACGCTTCAGCTACTTCCGGCGTGAATTGTTTCCCCAATGCTTGTCGCAGTACTTGTAATATCACTTCTTTCAAATTCTAGAAACGAAAAACGTGCGTTTTCAAATCATAAGTTTTACTTATCAATTATTTTTTCTAATGATGTATTAAAATCATTTCAAAAATTTGTGTCGTCAAATATTCTTTCTGGTATATATTTTATATTAAGCGATAAAATGGCTGATCAAAACAACAGAAATGCTTCCATGCATAATAGTGAATAGTGAATGAATAGTGAGTTTCAATAAGTGTATAACAAAAACATCAGATAAAAATTTATTTATGACATTTCACTTACGTACTTAGTACTTACACACAACATGTGAATGTCTTATAAAATAAAATTAAATAACATTAAGTTCTACACTAATAATACTATCTCTTTAGCAAACAAATAAAAAAGTTGAAGAGACAAAAAATGAACATACTTTTCCATAATATTTAAGGATATTTTCAATATCTTAAACTCATCGATGTAAAAAGCGTCACAAACTTTTGAGATAACTTAACATTTTTCACTTATAACAAATTTTAGTGAAAAAGTATAGTTTGGTCCAATAAATTATCCAATCGTGTTAGATTAATTTTGTTTGACATCAAACAACCGGGATAGTATATACGATTGATTTGCCACTGTTTTTGCAATGCATACCTGAAATTCTTCTTTTTTTTGGCCGCGATTTTTATGCCTCTCAGCCAAGCCGGTTAAGCTTGCCTCCATTAATCCTGGGTCGTGCAAAGAATCGATAACATTATTTAAGGCCGCAATTACGCTAGCACAATGAGCCTGAAACCTCTTATTATCCGGCAGCTGGTCTAATGGAATGTCCTTGAAAGCTTCAAAATATTGTACATACGATGGATATTTTTTAAAAAATCTGGAAACGATTAGCCAGTTGTTAATTTTTGAAGCATTAAATTAAGAAATGTTAGTTAAAAATATGGAAATGAAACAGGTATTTCTGATCTTTGACGATTTGTTAGTCGACACGGATCGGAAAAATACAATGATTTATTGCGAATAAATGTTGCGGTAAGTGACTTACTCATTCTCATTTGTATGCAACAGAACGTGCTTTCAAAACATTTACTAGTTTCTTTGTATTTAAACGCAAGTGCGACGGAAACGTAAGAAACACATAATATAACTTTCAAGAAGCACTGCATGAAAATGAGAAAGAATATTGGTATTTATTTTGAAAGGAAATTTAAAATATTTGACTCGACAGCAAAAGAAATAAATAGTTAAGTAAATATAGAATTAGAAGTAAATAGTTTTACTTGCAATGAAGATAAGCGCAACTTATCTTTTGCTAGTTTTTATATTATTGATTAAGATAAATGCAATAACAGTGTGGACAAGGTTATCGATGCACATTCATGTCACGTCTCATTTTGAAAACTCTCTTATTTAACTTGAAGCTTTCCAACGATATATCACAATTATAGAGCATGCAGCTGATTTTCAGAATAAATCAGTTTATGTATATATTATAAATATATTGCAGATAGTACAATCTCTCCGAAATAAAAAGAAAATACTTACGCGCACATAACAAGAACTCCAGCACCTACTTCGTCCTTTCTTATTATACTCCACGTATTTTGCACTAATTTCTTCTGTTTCTCCGTGAGCCCAGTGGCCTGATCGATTCTATTATCGTCGGACGAGATGCCGAGTAAACGAAGAAACGAATCCATGTTCAGTGATAATATCGTTAAAATACCTTTTGCAGAAAGAACACAATGTTTCGTAAACAATATGAAAGCCGACTGTGTGGATCCGCGTGTCGAAAATGACCATTCTGGGAAAGATCGATGAATGATAAATGAAAGAAATTGAAGAGAGCAAAGGTCTCAAGGTCTCGGTTGAATACATCGACCCGTTTAGATCACGCCATGATCGTCAGTTATCAGGGAATAAGCGGTCGATTCAAGCTATTGCAATTACCGTAATTCTGAATGATATATCACGTGCCACGTACTGTCGTTGCAATTCGCTCAATCGCTGACACGGTTGGACGACGACTACTCTCGTTGTTCGAGCCCGACTGACGGCACACTGCCTATCTAATGCTATTTTAAATCCACCCCCTCCGCTTTATTGCCGCCACTAATGCCGCACGTGGTTAAATGATTAAAGGATTAAGCCTCTTTACACGATCAGCATCCAACTGGTTAAGTCGGTTAACCGATTTGACTGTTCAATGCTTTGGTCACTGAACTCCGCTCCTCAAACGCCAGTGGTATTTGATTCTTCGATCATTTCTAACGGACAAAAATAATCGAATTGAATGGACGTTTTATTGCTGCTTCAACTATTTTACGATAGGGGAGATATTCGTTTAATCATTGAAGATTAATTAGGATTTGAAGTGGTAAGCTCGATAGATCGAGTTTATTGCTTTAATCGATTAACCTTGCGCGACATGCTGCTGCTTGTGTTATTTCATTGCTACTTTGTTACACACTTTCTTCGCAAGTTTTCGTGTATGTTGTACAGTTTACGTTTACACTTTAGCAATATGTTTTAGGAATCATAAAAATCATTATTAAAATTTTTGTATAAGTATTGATTAAAAAATATTTTTTAATATTATCTTGCTACAAGATTTATATAAGAATCGTAATTAATTCGGTGCGCAATATGTTTGAAGATATCTTTCTATCATCGTAGATAACTTCTTTCATTATACTAATTAAGCAGTTACGCTGACCTAAACTAACTTGCAGTATCACTTTCATTGCGTTTATTAACTGACATTTCATCGTTGCTACTACTGATGCCTAACAGTGTCAGGATGTATTTCTTGATCATTTCTAGACATTTTGAAAGCTTTTAATCTAAGCGGAGTATAATTTTTAATTCAAAAACATATTTATATCTAGCGATGAATTTTGTCGTATTTATTTCGACATAACTTAAATATACATAAGATATTCGATTTGGTATAAACAACTATGCGAACAAAGGCACGTATACTTGGCAATCAAAGTCACGTACTCAAGACGCTCGTCGTGAAAGTGTTAAAGAATACTGAATGCATATGTACAAGATCTGATATACAGAATCAAAATTGTTTAAAAGATTATAAATCTTACATCAATTACCGAGAGAATCATCAAAAACGTCTGAAATACAAGCAAAATGAAATTGTAGATACATTTGAAAATTAACTGTTCGTTTGCTTAAGAGAATTGTGCATTCTAAAAAGGAAAAGTTCAGCAATATTTGGTATGTGGTACATTTTGAAAATAGGAAATAATCTTTATAGGTTATGTGGATTATTGTTAAATTTTTAACCAATATTTACGATACTTACAGTAAAATTTACAATACTGTAGAAGGTATATTTTAAATGATGAAAGTTCCGTTCTTGAACACAATTTTTATTCGAGTTTAGAATAAGTAGTAATTGGTTTCGAAAGCGCGATGCTAACTTTGTAAAAGCTTATAACCGACTGTCCCAGCGCTGGTCAAACCTTCTCCTCGAAAACTCATTAGGAAAAGAAAAGAAGTACAGATAAAGACAGAAAATCAAGGAAGTAGGGAAACCCAGAAAACCGTTGAAAGATTCAAAAAGGGACAAATAACGGAAGTAAGTCATAAAAATGAAAGTGAAGAGGTTCGCAAGGGTCTGAAAGCGGACACTAACCAGGCCTCGACGACATTCTGCAGAAAACGTAAGAAAAGGTTGAAAACAAAATTAGAGAAAACAGGAAAAGAGGACTTTGAAAAATAAAAAGGACATATAAAACAGAACGACGTACTATACAACGTTGTCTGTAATTATATACAATTAAAAAAAGTTGTTTCCTTTTTATTGTAGAAAATATTTTCGGAAATCTGAACTTCAGCAGCTCTATTGACCTTTTTCAAAATTCGGAGTCCCAAAATGATCTTCTACGATAACAATTAAACTCTTTTCATCTCAGATAATTATAAATTATGCTATACTTTATGACAGTAATAAAATGAATTATAGACAAGAATCCGACCTTGAACATCAGTTTATTATAAATTTAATAGCAGTACACGTGAAATCCTATTAGGTTTGATGTTTGAAGATACAGCATTCTAATGATTGTTGAATTTTTCATTCGCAGATGCAGAAAATTTTAATATTTCAACTTCAACCATTCTTACGACTTACGTTCATTTTTATTACGATAGTCAATAATATAATGATATAAAAATAGAAAAAAAAACTATTGCGGTTTGTAATGACTTTAGTGTTTGTAATGAATTTATGACTTACGAGTTAAACGCTCATTCAGCGTTTTTAGATTTTATGATTTTAAAATTTAAATAATCGTGTCAACTAAAAATATGTACGTGATATTTTGTTCAAAATTCCAAATTAAATATTAGTTCCAAATATTTTGCTGAAATTACTGACTTAGCATTACAAAGAAAGAAAATGTATAAGTAATGAGTAACCTCTTGTCAAATTCTTGTCTTCTTCTTGAGATATCGACTATCATCTGTAAAATCTCGACAAGCTGATTGTTTTGTATTTTCTCTAAGATATGAACTGCATGTACAATATCTTGACCAATGGTGTTTAAGTAGATTCACTTTCCTTGCTCAACAAAAGATCTAAGTTGTGATCACTCGACATGCATACATAACAGTATCTACACTCTCGAGTGCCAGCTATAAAATATGTGGAATATATAATTTCAATATTTTGCCAAAATCGTTGGTTTGATAGTGATAAGGAAAGAAAACATGACTGAATGATAATGGAATAATACCACTCCATGGTAAGTGGGGATAACGACTGCTATAGTCACGTGATTGCCAAATATAGAGGCTTTATTGCGTAAATACGGCATGGCAATATCTAGGTCAAGAACGGGAACATAATAATGAAATAATAAAAAACTGTGCATGTAAATGTACCTTTTACTTTAAAAATTGTTAATGCTTAGAGTAAATAGATGAAACATTTAGTAATATAAATATACAATATTATTTGAAGATTAGCATGTATTTATACTGTTCATCGTCCATTCGTCTACTTATCCGTCGCAAAAGTCGTTAAAATCGTAAATAATTAAATATTTCTAATTTTATAAGTTTTCTACATTTTCATTTCTTGATTTTAATTTCATAAATTTTTTTATTTTGTTTCTCCGTATGGATACCTGCATTTTTGTCGAAGTCAAAGAAATATTTTAATTGTTTTTTTAGTTGTATGAAATTATATGAGAAAAATTAGGCACTTTTGAATATTTATTTTGCTACTCGAAAGTAGAACAGCAAGATAAGAAATAACATTCGCGATATTTTTTCTGTAATGGAAACAAAATTGTCATTGATGTCTATATTAGTTAATATAGGGATAAAAAAAATATTCTAAAAATATTTAGTTCGTAACAGTAAAATAGTAAATAGCTTGATTTCATAGAATTTACTATAACAAAAATCAAATAAGAAAAAATTATTTAAAATGTTACAGAAAAAATTTTGAATGAATCATGAGAATATTGTTGTTCAGACCAAGCGTAAATAATTTGTATAATATTCAATTAAGATAACGTAGATATTTATTGCATAGATGGGACAAGATAATTTTAATTTTAACCATTATAGTTACTAAATTCAGATAAATAAGAAATTGTTCGCAAATCACCTTTATGAGAGTTTGAAAGTATAAAAGACTTGAAAAATTAATGTTAAATATAAATATCCTCAGATTCGTTTAAAATACAGTGTATTTTGGGGCTCGTAGAACAGACAGACATAGACGATGTTACGAGAAAAAAATAATTTACAAAAACGATTTTTTGCGATATTTTCCTCGAGGAAATTAAGTTTGAAAATTCTGTAAAATTTGTATAAGAAACTTCACGACGAAAATCATAATTTTAATAATTTTTTTTAATTAATTCAACACTTAATAAATGTAATTATTAAGACCATTATTGTGTATTATTAGTTATCTTCCTTACTCTGGACAAATTTTTTTTATAACTATCGTGTAAAAATTGCAAATTTAATTTTCTAAAAAACGAAGCCGGTAAGTTTCGAAAATGACTTCTTTTCACATCGAAATCAAGAATACGTCAGATTTTTTAAATAAAGTTATATCTTTGTATTGAGCGAATTCTTTGAAATATTTTACAGAAAATGTATTAGGGTATAACATAAATATTTCAGATATTTTAAATCCAAAACATAAAATATCATTTATAAAACTGCTAAAAGAGATTTTGTTGATTTTTATACCTTTTTATTTAAAAATTGGTATAGATGGAAAGGTGTACGATTCTATTTAAAAATATAATGAGTGAATTCGTATTGTGTCTTTTTAATGAATTACATTTTTCACAAAGATCGATTCTTTGTAAGATTTTACAAGTATTAAAAGACAATATTACGAAATAAAATATTCTTAGTACCTTCTAAATTTTGGTATAAAACATTTTATTTGTTAATTATAATGCATTTTATGTTAATATAAGCCTTTCCAGTGATTATCGAATTATTACTCAGATTGTGTACAAAATATGTTGTCAAAATTATTATATGAAAATAAGTAAGATGCATATATGACATTGTACTCTGTATGAAAATATAAAAAACAAAAATACAACTCAAGTTATTAAAACTCTTAATACGAAAAACGAAAGTACAATTCAGGTTATTAAAATTAATAATAGAGTAAACTCGATATAATGAAAATATCAAAATTTCATTGTTGATTTTCAAAATGTATTGATTATGGTATTGATTTAATAAAAAAGTGGGCAAAGAAAAATTAACGATACTTCAAATAACGAATAAGTCACGCAACACTTAATTGCATATAACCTAATATTAAAAAGAAAGTTTTATTAATTAAATGTAAAATCATTCTAAAAATATAAGAAACATTTGAAGGATTTCTCAATGCTGCTTTGTATAAAGATTCAAAACATCAATTTATCGAAAGCCATTTTTCAATTATAATCGCAAGTCACAGTCATTTAAGAAAATTAGCGATAACTTTGTATATTTAATACATATAATGTATAAGAACTATGTAAAATTCTTTGTATGATTAATGTACGTTATAACCAACTTTAATTAAAGCGTGTAAAATTAGAAGGAGAATTCAAGATATTCGTGATCAAAGCGTATTTATAATTCTCGTCATAATTTACACGCTGACGTCATTTCATGAATCGCAATCTTCACTGCCTAAAATTCCTAAGAGACCAGTACACACGCGAGATATAAAAGGCTATAGATTTCAACAAATATACACGCAGAAAAACGAATATTCCTCTTTCGTCTGTGGCTAAACACACTACGAAAAGAAATGATGGAGAAATTTAATAAAAGTTTGGATAAATTGCAAAATAATTTATTTTCAAATAAGATCTTCGGTTGACACAATAAATTTTACAATTAGTCGCGTTATTTGTCCCACTGAAATAAAACGTGTGGTGATTATCAAAGATCTTTTCGAAATAAATGCAGCTTTGTGCACACCTGACAGGTGGTAAACTTGCGACACTACTTTATATGAAATTCACGTAATGACAGTCGGACAAAGATATCAATCTTTTTTGCGTTCAATGCTACAAGCTTTGGTATGAAAATATTGCATTATAAGCACCTAGGTTTCATAAAAAATGCGAAACAAATTTAATTTAATTTTAAAATTAAGAATATAACGGAAATTATTCTTCTTTTTAGGAAACCGCAACAATGACTGAGGAAATCTGTGCAGAGAAATTGCCTGCAACGAAAAAAATTCGTCGGAATCAAATAATAGCCGGTGCTGTAGGTAAAGTATTCTCGTTAGTATATATTATACAGTAGAAAAATTATATACTCTTACGTTTCTTACTTAACTGTGTGTACTCTTATAAGACTGTTTGTTTGCAACAATTCCACTTTACACTTTTTATATCAGGGTATTGCGAACGATATATTAACCAATTAATTGTGTTTGACGACTATGTTCATCATGGAGATGTGGCAGAATTTTGTGTCATGACGACTATATCCGTCATGCGTAAAATTTTGTTACAAATTTGATATTATATTGTAATTTTGACGAAAACTAAATTATATTCGTAAATTGTAATATGTTTAAAATGTTTAGAGGTCAACACGAAATGAAATAAACAATTAAAAAGTGTAAATGATTTGAGATGGATTCATAAATTCTTGAGAGCTAACTCGTCATCGCTTGATTATCGTGACACACACTGGTGCGCGCTTTGCAAAAAGATCGCCACAGTTAACTGGTTAAATAAACTTTCCTGAAAAAAACGTTATAAAAAATTAAGATTTAACAACATCCTAAAATAAATTATTCAAATGGAATAAAAATGAATAACGGCAAATTAGCAATTCGGCAAATTAGCAAGTGATTACTAAAATGCTAAATTGTTACTTGACTGCAAATCAAAATTATTTGGACATAATTTAAGCGATAGTTTTTACGTAGATCAGGATGTCAAAGATGTATGTTCTTCAAAGTCAGTTTGTTTAAACAAAATATCTTGTAATGGGATATTTTTATGAATATATAAATGCAAGAGTTTATAGAGTCGTTCAAGGTTGTTAAAATTCTAGTACGATAAAAAATATTTTCTGACACTTTCTTAAATGTTTTATTCGTAATAACTCTTTGAGTTTTTTTTATTGTGATCAACATTTCGTATACGTTGCAATTTGCAGCATTTATCATATAAAAATTCGTAATATGTTCATGGGTTAATTATTCAACAAACAATATGTTTGTAACAATGTAGAATCTTTTTTTTTCCTAATCTTACTAATATTTAAAAATTAACGTTTTCTAATGTAGCGTAATTAAAACTTTCTAAGAAAAAACTTTTGTGTAGGTAATAGACATTGAAATCCTTTAATTATAGATTGCTGAACGCATCTTAAAATACGTTGTTAAAAATTAAGTAAAAAAAAACATTTGAAAAATAAATTTACATTTATTCCTTAGTCTCCATATATGAAAAGCAAATTACATCCAAATGTATAAGAAAGTTAGAATTGGTAAAAGAGTTTTAAACTGCTGCTTTTGTGTAAAAATAAAAAAAAAGTGATGAGTTATTAATCTATGAATCGTTTTGTAAAATAATACTAAAAGAGGTGTTTAGAAACATTTCCAATTCATAATTGTCAATTAAACATGGTACGTAGAAAGTTCGCATTTCTGTTTATAGTATGCCCCGATTTCTGCTTATGTTACGTAAAATGCAATTTCATATACATAATTATTTATTTTAATATTGAACTAGGAGATAAACACGTAAAGAACAAATAATTATTCACTTTTGTGCATTTTACTAAAAACAGACAGCATCGAATGTATATTACATTCTAAATTAATCAAAATTGTACTTGTAATACGTAATGAAAGATTTTATTATTCGGACTCATACCCTCGTCACTAATTGTAGTGTGGCGCCCTTGGCACCACATACGCCATTGCCTTTTCTGTTTTCTATATTCTTTCAGTTTTCTGAAATTCTGTTTCCTGTTTTCTATCTTCTTTAACTTTACGTTCTCTAATTGTTTTCACTTTCTATAGGGTCTCGCCGGGGTTTGCGAACCTCTTCACTTTCTGTTTTATGATTCTCTTCCGCTGTACCTCTCCTTTTCCGAACTTTCAACGGTTTTTCTGGATTTTCCCACTTTCTATATTTTCTCTCTTTCTAAACTGTTTCTTTCTTCTTTTACTGATGAGTTTTCGAGAAGAGGTTTTGACCAGCGACATGATCAGTCCGTCAGAGTCGTTCTAATATATTACATCATCTTCCCTGCACGTACGCATTTAATAAACTTGTGTGCAACGCAATTTAGTATTTTCCCTTCCGAACTTTCAACGGTTTTTCTGGATTTTCCCACTTTCTATATTTTCTCTCTTTCTAAACTGTTTCTTTCTTCTTTTACTGATGAGTTTTCGAGGAGAGGTTTTAACCAGCGACGAGACAGTCTGTCAGAGTCATTCTTATAGCTTACATCGTTTTCACTGCTCGTACGCATTTTAATAAACTTGTGTGGAACGCAACATAGACTTGATTATTGTGTTTACCCTTATGCGATTCCCACAGTAGTGACATTTAAATGTGTTATGAAAAGCCTGATTCTGAACAACTCTTCACTATATATTTTAACGCCGTCCTACCTTAATTTCTGAAATTTTCGCAAAACATTTTCAATATTGCAAACTGTGTTTTTAATAAAAATCATCAATTTAACCAGTTAACTGTGGCGATCTTTTTGCAAAGCGCGCATCAGTGTGTGTCGCGATAATCAAGCGACGGCGAGTTAGCTCTTAAGAATTTATGAATCCATGTCAAATCATTTACACTTTTTATTTGTTTATTTCATTTCGTGTTGACCTCTAAACATTTTAAACATATTACAATTTACGAATATAATTTAGTTTTAGCCAAAATTACAATTTAAACATCAAATTGTAACAAAAATTTTACGCATGACGGATATAGTCGTCATGACACAAAATTCTGCCACATCTTCATGACGGATATAGTCGTCAAACACACTTATAACTGGTTAATTGACATCATCAATTTCAGCCACCTCGAAGGATGCTGTTAATACCCATATCCTGAGCAAATTTGTTCATTCATTTAACCTCTGTTATATAAACCTTGGTTTTAAAAACATTCGAAAAAATATTCTTTGCGAGACGTAAAATCCTAGGTGCAAGGTGACCGCAAGATTTTCTTTAGCAATCTCATCCATCATTGCAAACACACATTGAATAAATAAACGCAGCAAATATAGAATATACAAACATATGATGATGATATACTTGGAAAGGTCGATTGGTTAGGTTAAGTTTTTGCGATCGCCTTGTGCCGCAGATTCTGAGTTGAGCATTTACGTGAATATCTTGAAATGTGGTCATAATTTATGATAGATGCATAAAAGTAAATATTAACACTATTTCTGCCACAACTTTATGTATATCTATTTAAAGATGCGTTTTGACACCTTTTCGTTTGAATGCAAATATTGCCAAAACTACCGGGATTTCAAATTATCAGTTTAATGTAGATAATTTGAGGAATGTATTTGTTGATACATTGGTACATTCTAGTTTAATTCATCAATTTACAAAATATAAATATAACTGTGTACATTAAAATGCAATATGTCGGAAAATAAGCAAATATCAAAGTTATGCCGCAACTCCTCCATTTTTCGTTATAATTGAAATCGGGATTCTTTAATCTGATTATAATTGATATGATGTTGCAAAATGGTGTTGATATTTATATTTAAAATAGTTTAAAATTAGGCACTGTCATGAAATCCTTAAGATGTCAAAAGACACCTCATGGTAGAAATAAATATACCACATCCACATTTTTAGATATAGGATGAGCTGAAAGAAAATGCTATCTCTGAATTAATTTAACAACTATTGTACGAAAAGTCAAAAAATTAATTATATGGAAGTGATTTAATTTAGAAAATTATTTTAAGTTAAAATTTGAAAGATGTTAATAGACCCACTTTTAAATTTTAGAGTATAGTCCCATAGCGAAGAGTCAGACCTTCGGCTAATTTCTTTACCTGTAGCAGCAATAATACCCAAGGAGTCGTTACATTCTTCGTCGAATATTTTAGTTTATTGCTTTTACATCTGATTGCCAGAAGCTTTAAGTTTAGCAGTAGAGTCCGTTGTTTCCAGTTTCTATTCATGTCGAGGTACTGCTTGGTTTTATTACTTGCTATGGTCATTTTTTGGGAAAAAACGAGACTCATTATACGTCACTCAAGCTTCTATTTCCATTCCATTTTGTATAGCCAATAGAAATTAAGAATTGTTTCCCTCACCCTTACTCTGTAAAAACTATACGCGTGTACCGCGTTTTCATGTGCATAAGAAATATACATTCATCTCTTAACATTCGCAACAGCAACAACTCGTATTAGTTTTGTATAGTCTCCAAGTTTGGAGTCGTCCTTCGAGTAAGGAAATAATTATAAATTTTATAATAAGAACAAATTTAGTCGGCACACCACGTGCAATATACAACAAGGCTCGAACGAATTTATTTCAATCACAAGCGTTTACAGACACCTCTTGGTAGAAATAGTGTTAAATGTGTTTTGTTTTATAAAACACTACTACGTTATGAAATACTGCATACAGCATATTTTAATATATGCCATGGAAACAGGAAAGTTGTTCAAATGCGCTTGATGGCATATTTCAAAGTCATTAAAATCGATGAGGAAAGTACAATCGCAAATACCTTCCAAATTGTTTACTTAATTCTTCGGAATTATTTTCCTTTCTTTCCCTCATGGTAATTTGCGACATAAAAATGAAAAATGCGTTACTTTCAAATTACAGTATCCTGATAAATTACATGATAAAGCGCTCTCAACTATTAACGTAAAATATATTTATATATTTAAAGTTATTTATATTTATATATTTATAATTAATATTTAAAAATGATTAGAAATTGGGATTACTCCTTATCTATTTTCTGTAGAAAAGTATCACATATCGTAGAACATGTACAATTACATCACTGTAAATCTTTTTTGCTGTCAAAATAACTAATCTTTGTTCAAAAGAATAATAATTCGAATTAGTAAAAACATAAAATTACGGTTATCCCTGTTAAAGTTAGATAATAATAGTTCATCTACGACTTAAAACAGAGTACCTTGAGTACTCAATTCACTTTTAAATAAGGACTGTCATCTGAAAAATAATGGATTGGTGTAATTCTTACAGAATTATTTAAATAATCCAAAATCACTTCTTGCACCACTATTTTACTAGTTAAATATTTATAATAAAAATATATTTATGAACAGAAGGCACTGTAGATGTTGGAAACTATCAAACTATGAGCCGCAGTTAAAAATAGTAAGAATATATATCATATTTTTACACTTTTTTAATTAACTATAATGAACCAAACGATTCTTATATTTTTCCATGTTCTTCGTTTGTTTATATGTACATTAACAGATTTCAATAAAAATTTTCAACATATAACTTATTTAAATGTACGAAGAATACTTTCGTAATTTTCACTGCAGAATCAGATGAAACAGATGTAAGAAGTAACTTCATTCTTTCAATCAATTACAATTTTTCGAAAATGAATAAAACATGACATTTCTATTACTAACTAATCCATTTAACTTCTTTAAACAACTGCAATATAGCCCAATTTAAAAAAGGTTATTGTTTTAAAAGGTGATATTATACTCTTAATTTCTTAAATGTGTTACCGTAATTCAAATCTGTTTTTCATTTAAAGTGATTATTTTTTGTTTCTAGACACATTTAAAACCGTAATGACACGTGATTTTCTAATAAAACCGTAATGACGAAGTCATAAAATTTCAATGAAAAGAGCAGGTATAGAATACATTATTACATAGATGTACAATATTTAACAATTGTTTCCTGCAAAATACAAATTTCATACCGAATGGGTAACACCTTAAAATAAATCTATTTAATTTTTTTAATCAATCTTATTGATTTTGTTTTCCATTACTTTAAATATTCTTACAGAAAAAGGTGCAAATAATACCAAGATTTTAATTTGTATACTATGTTTACATTTTTGACAGTAAATAGAAATGAGATATTATAAATTTATTCTATCTTTTCGCTTCTCAGTTTTATCGTAACGAGTGCGCACATTGTAATTTTTAAAAAAGCGACGGAAATAAATTATAGTTTGAGAATATTCACAAAGATTTCAAGTACATTATGCTTTTAATTGTGATATATCGACAGAAAATTGAATAGCATACTGGCAGTAATATAAGACACCTGATTTATTACGAATTATTTAACATCGACTAGAATCAAACGATTCAATAATTAGAATTTGCAATTCAAAATATTTCGAAAGCTTTAAAGCTGAGCCGTGGATCCTCTGCTATGTCAACTATGGATCCATTATAATTATGCAGAATCGGAGAGCGAAATGTTGATATATAATTATTGCAAAGCTAAATTCGTTTCAAAAATATTCTGCCTTTGGAACTTACATACACAGTCATTATCATTCTCCAGATTTATGACCAAAATTTTGGCTCAAAACTGTACTTGTACAAATATGATAGGGTGTCCCAGTTTTTTCCGGCAAACTTTGCCAGCGTGTTCTGCATGCAAAAGTAAGAAAAAAATGTTATATGAACATATGCTCTTCAATGTTTTATTAAGGAGTTATAATTAATAATACTAAATTATAATGAACTTGCATTTTGTCGACACAGCGTACATTTTCGTAATAACGGACGTGATTTTCAAACGTGAACTCGTTAATAAAAAATGTAGATATCAACTACCAGAGCAAGTAGACATAAGCGTTTACGTAAACAGAAATAGAGATATTCATACTACGTGTGTCGACAAAATGCAAGCTCATTATAATTTTGTATTATTAATTATAACTTCTTATTAAAACATTGAAGAGCATATGTTCATATAACACTTTTTTCTTACTTTTGCGTATAGAACACGCTGGCAGTTTGGCCGGAAAAAAACTGGGACGCCCTGTATATTATATAGACAAAACGATCATTCACATTGAGAATGTAATGATGTAAGATCCGCGAAATTGGCAACGCGACAAAAATGTCTAAAATAAACAGGAAAATTACCAGAAGCGTACACACTGTACATATGCGCAATAGTTATAATTACAAAACACGTTAATGACATAAGTTTCGATAATAACTTCAGTTATATTTTTCATAAACTGGAAGCATTTTCTTTCGTCTAAAGCCACAGGAACTATTGTCCTGTCGCGTACTAATTTATTTTGTACATAAAAACAATCAATAACACAAACGGGATATTATAATATTTGTTACAGAATTGTCAGTTTAATTCAAGTTAGACTAAAATTAAAGACATAAATCTGAGGTATGGTTTTAATTAATAGCAGCTGTATTTTATACAAACATTTGTTGTTCATATTTTAAATTTCATAATTTATTTTTCTTTAAAATAACATCATTTTACATTATCATCCGGTTTTCCATTTGCCCAATTATTTAGAAAAAATAAGAAGGTCTTAAATTCCGAAAAATAATAAATATTTATAATTATACAATTTACAATTTCATGTTGAAATTCACAATTTCGAACTATGTATGAAATTCGCTATTTCAAACTCCCCGTACGTCTACGCTTGGTTTTTCTGTTTATGACTACTCTGATATTGCTAGACCAAAATAAAATCGTATCATATTTGTAATCCTATGATATTTCGTATCCGATACTCTGTTAAATTATATTTCTCTTTTTTCTTTTCAAGCATCCTTAACACTAATATCGTGTGGATTATGTTTCGCCTGGCCAACGGTCTATCTACAAAATGGGAAACGTGCAGTACCCGTACCTCCTGACATGAGGAAATGGGTAGACTCTGCATTACTAGTAGGTGCTAGTCTTGGACCAATCCTTTCTGGTTTACTAATTGACCGTATTGGTAGAAAATGGTTCCTGTACCTGATAGTAACGCCATTTCTTGCCTCTTGGATACTCATCTTTTTCGCCAAAAATTTTACGCTATTTTTCGTGGCAAGACTTGTCGGAGGATTGTCAGTTGGAGCTATATACACTGTAGTTCCTATATATAATGGAGAAATTGCTGAAACAGGAGTCAGAGGAACTGTCAACGCGATTGCAGCAGTGGCGCTTAATTTGGGATACATATTTACCTATGGCGTAGGTCCGCTTTTGGACAGAAAGGTAACTTTTACAGATTTTTAAGTACAATAATGTATTTCATAATGAAAGTGGAGTATTAAATATTTAGTGTTTATATGTATGCAGTGCAGAAATAATTTAACCAGTTAACTGTGGCGACCTTTTTGCGAAGCGCGCACAAGTGGGTGTCGATATAATCAAGCGATGACGAGTTAGTTCTCAAGAATTTATGAATCCGTCTCAAACCATTTACACTTTTTATTTGTTTATTTTCATTTCGTGTTGACCTCTAAACATTTTAAATATATTACAATTTACGAATATAATTTAGTTTTCGCCAAAATTACAATTTAAATATCAAATTGTAACAAAATTTTACGCATGACGGATATAGTCGTCAAACACAATGAACTGGTTAAATAAATAATTAACTAAATTACTTTAGTAATTGAAACAAATAATTGCCAATTTATATTATGTACTCATTCAGATTAACGAAATAGCGAAATATGCAGTTACGTTTCAAAATAGATAATCGATTTTTATATTACTAATTTGCATCAAAATGTACTATTATATATCCAGTGATGTTACATAGTGTTATATTTTCTATATATTTCAAATATCACTGTTATGGAAGGGAATTTAGCGAGCATTTACATTGTTGCAATTTTTTATTTTTTTCCTCATTTCATCACGATGAATAATTTTCATTTAAAGTATCATTCTTTCTGTAGTGATTGCTGTTCTTACAGGTAATAAAATAACACTCACGAGATACGGAGCAAATTGATATTCTGTAAGAAACAAGTTGCGGTGCTAAATGTTTGTAAAATTTTTTATTATGTTCATTTTTATTTACATTTTTAAATGATTTCATTAACATTTTTTTCGATTTTGGTTTCTTGATTCCCTTCGACATTTTTTCGGCTTATGTAATTTCTTTTACGAATATAGTTGTTAGCATATCTAAATTCATTTTCTTTTCTCGTACAGTTGGAAACCTTTAACACACTGATTTCCACACTGAAGCAGTTGAAAATTATATTATAGGTAGAATTTTCATTTTTAACAAATCGTTCCAAATATTTGCAAAATATCTTATTATATTTATTTCGCATAATCTCAAACAGTTAAAAGGTGTATTTTCAATTAGATTAACAAAGAAATTTTTAATAATATAGATGTTAGATCTATACAGAAATTTAAGTGACGCACATACGTGGTTAATAATTAAAGTGTTAAAACTATCTTAACGTTAAACAGCCAATAACTGACTGACAACCATCGGTTCGCATATATTTCTTAATAAATCTATATAAAAATATAAAATTCCTACTGTAATTTGGACTAATTACATTATGGCCATAATGTTATCAATAACGTTTCTAGTTACTGTTCCAACTTCTCTTAGAAATATGATACCACTAGATATTTTCCTTACATAAGTCGGAATCATGTGACTGTAAAATATTAACAAGGGTAAATATTTAGAATAAAGGAGCCACATCTGATTACGATCACCTTGAAATATGTTGCCAAGGTTATCATACTGAACAACTTTTTTCTAACATTTTCTAACATTTGCTCTCAAATGTTCTATTAAGGAGTTATAACTAATAATACAAAATAATAATGAACTGGCATTTCGTCCACACAGTGTACAAATGCATTATGAATATCTCTATTTCTGTTTACATAAACTCTTGCCTATTTATTCTGGTAGTGATATCCACATTTTTTATTAACGTTTTATTGATGAATTAAGATTTCAAAATGGCGTACGTTATTACGAACACGTACGCTGTGTCGACGAAATGTTAGTTCATTATAATTTTGTATTATTAATTATAATTTCTTAATAAAACATTGAAAAGCATATGTTCATATAACATTTTTTCTTACTTTTGCGTATAGAATACCCTGGCAAAGTTTGGCCGGAAAAAACTGACACACCCTGTATATTAGCTAAAGCACTTGATAATTTTTAACATGTTTCTTAAATTATATTTTTATTATTTTACTTGTTATATTGCAAAAATGCATACAAAATTAATATCTTCTTTCTGTATTTAAAGTATTGTGATATTCTTTATTTTATACAAGCATAAGTATTCTTACAGTTACTAATAATCGAAAATGTACCGAGAATGTTAACGCAAGTTGACCGGAAAAAATAGTATTAATATTTTCTTAAATGTCTCGTTTGTGTAGAACGTCTTTACACTCATATTTTCTACCGAAACAATTCTTCTTCTTCTTCTTCATAAGTGTTTAACGTCGCGTTTAAGGGGGGAGACCAGTATGACACCTTAAAAAAATCGATTTTTTTTTTTATCATCTTAAAAAATTCTCCCTTCTTTCCTACGTATAATGCCGAAAACCGGGTTTAAAAATTCGAAAAACTCTCGTAGCTAGACCTGTTTCCGTATCGCACATAGCACTATCCCGCGTATGCACATACATATAACTTTAACCTCGTTTTTCTCGGAACACCATTTTTGGACCTTGCAACCAGCCTACAGCCTAAACGGAGGTTCAGATCACCTTGAAATTTTTTGTGGTAGTATTTCAAATCAATGGCTATCGGCCTAACCTAAAACATCCCAGAAAAGAAATCTAATTTTGGAGAAAAAAAATAAAATGTTGGAAAAATTTGCGTAATTACGTGTTTTGCCACTTTGATAATTTTTATATGCTATTGGGTTGAATAATCAAATCAGGTCGGAGGTTAGGCCGAAAACAGCATCGATTTCCTTTACTTATAATTTTATTTTATGCATTTCTGACGACTCGTTTGATCTGTACCCTGGTTACAGTGAGGAAGTGCACCGAAGTGTAGACCATCTATCTTTTTTTGTTTTTAACTATACCGCCCTTATTTGTACTGATTTTTTTTT